GCATGTGTGTGGAGCCGTGAACGGGGCCGACTAATCGAAAGCCGATTAATCGGTGATTGAAAACGTTGACAACTTTTTTAAGCATCGATCGTAATCGACTCAGTCGATTAGTTGTTTGCAGCCCCAGGCAGTACTTGTACTTGGTCTTTAATAAAGTGGTATCGGGACGTCCCTACGCTATATCATATCATATTACATATAACATCATTACATATCATATCATTATATCATATTCTATTCTATTACACTATATCTTATCATATCATAATATATTACATCATTACATATCATATCCTATTCTACTATTATATTATACCACTTCACATCACATCACATCCTATCCTATAACATATCATATCACATCCTATCCTATAACATATCACATCCTATTCTATTATATATGATGACATTGTATCACAATATAGATACATGTGTAGCGGTTGGAGTAAAATGATCGGTGGCATTGGTAACGCCATCGAATGTTCCGATGAGCAATGTGTTCAGAATTTCATACAGACAACATTCTACCCGCATACGGCCAGTTTTAGGCGAATAGGAAAATAAACTCCAAATTACATATAAAACCCAAAAATATAATAAAAACCCACAAAGAGGAAGCTAAATCCTTCGCCAGACCGCGGCGTGCCGAGGAGAGAACGTTATCTGACGGGTTCCCCCGATCATTCTAAGGAAAGAAGTCAGTGAAAAGGTCTTACCTGTTGCCCTGCACTGAGGACGAACATGAAGTGATGAGTATCGTTGCTGCAACCAGCCGAGGAATGTCTGAGCCCTCCCAGGACCTCCTCTCATTGGTCCCAATCGGTTTCACAACTTTTGAAAGAAAAAGAAAAAAAAACAACATTTGGAAACACAGATAAGACATCCGACTCCTAACCAGAGAAGCAACGACACGGCTAAACGTATGTATACAATGTACAAGATATATTAGGGCTGGTACTGATTAAAACTTTCGCGTTCAATTAATCAAATTTTTTTTTAATAGATTAATTTCGATTAATGATAACGCACATACAGATCCAACTACATCGGCCTATACAGCACAGCAATGACCTATACACATACAGCACAGCAATGACCTATACACATACAGCACAGCAATGACCTATACACCTACAGCACAGCAATGACCTATACACATACAGCACGGCAATGAAGTCATAAAATGAACTAGGATCACACTCATCCAGCACGTTATTAATCTCACGTGCCCCACTCAATATGGCCGCCGCTTGACTGGGGCAACTCAGAATAATAACGTGCTGGATTAGTGTGATCCTAGTTCATTTTATTACTTCATTGCTGTGCTGTATGTGTATAGGCCGATGCCTTGGCCGGCGCTCGTGCAGAAAGTTTTTTGGGCAAACCTCTTTGTTGTAACAAAACCGGAAGTCAGGTGGTCGCAGAACTCGATAAGTTCTCAGTGTCGACCGATCACCGGCCCAAGTGGCTCCACGGGCTAACAAAGGGAAGGGGGGAGGAGATCCGGTGACGTCACCGGACTCCCCCCCCCTTCCCTTCGTTAGCCGACGGAGCCACTTGGGGAAGGGGGACGTGACATTTCCTGGCTACTAAATACTCCGCGGTCACCTGTTACTGGGATTATAACAAAGTGGAAGAAACCGGGAACAACAGCAACTCAGCCAGGAAGGGGTCGGCCACGTCACATGACAGAGCGGGGTCAGCGCATGCTGAAGCGCACAGTGCGCAGAAGTCGCCAACTGTCTGCAGAGTCAATGGCTACAGACCTCCAAACTCCATGCGGCCGTCAGATTGGCACAACAACAGTGCGTAGAGATCTTTGGGCTTGGCCCCTTATTTCCAGTGAAGGGAACTCTTAAGGCATCAGCACACCAAGACATTTTGGACAATTTCATGCTCCCAACTTTGTGGGAGGAGTTTGGGGACGGCCCCTTCCTGTTCCAACATGACTGCGCACCAGTGCACAAAGCAAGGTCCATACAGACACGGATGGGGGAGTTTGGGTGGGAGGAACGTGACTGGCCGCACAGAGTCCTGACCTCAACCCCATAGAACACCTTTGGGATGAAATAGAATGGAGACTGCAAGCCCCTCCCCCAACATCAGCACCTGACCTCACAAATGGTCCAACATTCCCATAGACACCCTCCTAAACCTTGTGGACGCCTTCCCAGAAGAGGTGGAGCTGTTATAGCGGCAAAGGGCGGAGCCAACCCAATACTGAACCCTACGGACTAAGAATGGGGAGCCATTAGAGGGCGGAGCCAACCCAATACTGAACCCAACGGACTAAGAATGGGGGGCCATTACAGTTCATGTGCGTGTAAAGGCGTCCCAATACTTCTGGCAATATAGTGTATATAAAAGCGATCGCACGGCACATAACATAAAGTGATAACGACGTGTAGTTTAATATTTTTATTTCTCGCACACAATTTTCATTACAAATATTCATGTTTATTGTACAGTACATTGCATACGTTAGGTCTTTCCTGTGTGGTCACTTCCTACTTCCTGTTCTCTTTCGCTGTTATTACGTAGGGTGAAGGCATAGAGAAGGGGGAGCCAAACATTCGGCCCAGCTCCCGCTGTTGTGGAGTCACCATGAGGCATTGCAAGACTTTTGACAGCCACAGGCTTGACTATTGGAGGTAGATGCATGATAGGATTTGTAGCTTCACCACAGCTAGAGGGCGGAGGGCATGGCTACCCCTGGTAGAGGATCTGTCGCCTTTTATGAGGTCCTCAGGAGTAACAGGGCTTCTATAGGGTTCCCCTTCTTCTAGCCACCGCTGTCTATCACAGACTAGTTGGGTGGGGAGCCTAACATTTCTACGGCTCCCATCAGAGGGTTCACCCCATCCAGCGCTAATCGCCATTACTAGACGTTCACCTCGCTGACGCTATTCATACACATAATTATAAATAAAGAATCTACCTGTTTTCAACAATCTTTTGCTCAAAAACAATCACATGACACAACAAAGGATCACATTTAAAGGAGAACTATGGGGTCAGGGCTTTCCCCCATAGTTCTCCTTAGGGTAGCGGGAGGACACAAACTAGCGTCCTCCCGTCACCCTAGGCTCAGTATATAGGGAGCTACAGCTCGCGGTATACTGAGACGCCGCAGCCGGAGCGCATCACAACTTAGATGACGGGATCCGCCCAGCTGCGTGAGTGACAGCTGGCTCCTCCTATCTAGAGGCTGTACCCGCCCCCTCCCCCGTCCGATCCGCCATCATCTGTCCTCTGATTGTATTCACTTACATTCGTTTGTTGACCACAATGGTCATTTAGCATAATCAATAACTGAAGGCTGTCATTGAAATGATCAGTTTTTCCAATGGCATGGATACAAATCACCCTCCCTTCCAGAAGCTGCCTGTCACGATTCGGGCACTGGAGCACCAGGAGTCGTAAACTCCGGGTCTTGCGGAGCAGTATATAGGGGCTGGATTAGGAATGGGCAGGGATACGGGTCTCTGAAGATGCAGGGGCAGTGTGACCGCACAACAAACGCAGGTGTGCCAGAGCCGCAGGATCTAAAGAGCCGCCTGGTCTTCCCCAGAGCCACTGATGGTGCGGATGTTGAGCTGCGGGGCAGGTTGCGGCTCTCTGACACACCCGTGCGGGCACAGTGCCAGCGGGTACTCGGGGACCACAGCACAGGGGACAAGACACAGGGTGCATACAGGATACAGAAAACAGGCACTAGAGGGAGGATGCGTGGCGCGGGGAGCAGGTAACAGAAGGGAATACACCACAGGCGTGGCCCAGAGACAAGAGATTCACAGGAATAGCGGAGGGGAACGCACAAGAGAAAGGAGGGAGGTGCACAATAGTTCAGCGCACACTAACCACGGGGAGCAGGAGTCAACCACAAACAGAGCAGGGGGCGATGCTGCGGAGGGAACACACAGCCACAGCAAACAAAGACACAGAATGCGGGGTGTACTCAAAGAGCAATGCCACAGAACACAGAGCGGTCCGGCTCCTGGCGTGGAGACAAGTTGCTGGAACGCTAAAGCGCAGGTACACAAGCCTTGTAACACCGAGGTTCAGGGCGGACTGACAGGAGACCGAGCAGCTCGGACAGGAGGCAAAAACTCGGCGCCGGAGCAATGTACAAGGAACCGTCACACTGCCTAAGCACACCTCTCCTGTCTCCAGTTCCTGAGCACTTCCAGGGACGCTGCATGGTGGAGCCTTCCAATCTGATGACTTGTGGAAAGAAGACAAATTGCTGATGTTTGTTCTTCCGGTCATTTGGAAATGTATGTAATGGTTAGAAATAAAAAAAACAGGGGTGCCGCCATCTTGGTAGAGTACAGAGGGCTCTGCTTCTTTATGTCAGACCCGCCCTCCTGATGATTCAATGAACTGCTGGGTGCATGGTATGGGATATACCTGAGATGATCTCACACTATAGATGTTCCCCTTTTTATGGATACAGGAACGGAAGTGTTCAAGTCCAGTCACACATTATTATTATTATTATTATTATTCAGGATTTATAGAGCGCCAACAGTGTGCGCAGCGCTTTACAACACAAGGAAGACATTACAATCACAATACAAATCAAGACAAGATGGTGAGGAGGGCCCGGCCCCTGAGGGCTTACCATCTAAAAGGGAGGGGCCAGTGATACATGAGGAGGTCGCTGTGTGGGGATGAATGGTTCAGTGGTCAGGTTGAGGTGGGATCGGCTTCCCTGAAGAGATGAGTCTTAAAGGGGGGATAGTTGTGTTATCAATCTCAACCGATATGTTGGGGGAAGGTGCACGGGGGGGGCAGGAGGAAATATCACAAGCTCAGTTTTTGAAAGGTTGTGACATCCAGACGCATATGTCAGTGAGTAGATTAGTAACATTTCGATGGGCATTGCTATATCTCAGAAGGATAGGTCCACAAGAAGAACCGTTCCTACACTACTGGAAGAGGTCAAATCTAGAATTTGGATATAAAAGTAACCGGAACCACGTGGTTAAGAAAGGATAGACCAGTGGCAGTATGAAATTCTAGGTTGAATGTACAAGGTCAGTTATTGGTACAAAAGTCTTGATTTCTCCCCGTCGCTTGTAATTTGCTATCTCTAGAAGATTGTTTGGAAGGTCGATACATCCTCCTATCTGTGTAATGAGAAACGTTCGGTTCCCTCCTAAAGAACCGTTGGTGGAGTTCTGTTCGGGGAAAACTGTCCTTTTCACATACTTTGGCCTTCCTACTCCTCGAT